ATCTTTTAACTTTTAGTTCAGACGTATACCGGTTACTTATAATTTTTTCATTATACCTATTATTATTATATTAACTTGACGCATTTAAAATAAAATATTATTCAATTCAATTTTAAATACGCAATTCTTGTATAACATATAATTTTTGATAATACTTATTGGATACTTATTAATACGTATTGGATAAAATATATTTGCGTACAAAATGTTGTATTTATTTAAAAAAAACAAGTTTAGATTGACCAAGAAATCCACAAAATTTCATCTAATACTTTTACAATTATTCGCCACGTTACCAATTACTTCTTTCACTCCGGAAAGAACGTTTTCAACACTTAATCGCTTAAACATTTTTTTAAGAAGCACCATGTCGAAAAACAGACAGAATGGGTTAGCTATGGCTAATATAAATAAAAAAGAGCAATTCGATGAAAGTGAAATAATAACTGAATTTGTCAGAAATTCGCCTAAGAGAATGCAGCTGTCAGAGATGAGCAAGTGACTGAACACTGAAACCAAAATTATTATTATTATTATAAATTATATATTAATAAATATTTTTAAAATTATACTAAAATGCTTGAATTACGTTTAGAAATTTGGTGGTAGATGGTGGGGGGGGGGGTTAAGGGTGAATTCTCATATCCTCTCTTACCTAACTTATCCAAAAAAAGTGGTTAGCCCCCCCCCCCCATTTAAAAATCCTGGCTACACCACTGATGATGAGATATCAAGTGATCTCGAGAACACTGTAATGGACCATATGTCCCTATCCATTCATGGCCAAAACTTGGTTAAGGTATTCTTATATAATTAATATAAATACATAATGGGTGGGACTTCCAACTTCTTGGGAAAATAATTTATATATTTACTTTTTTTTGACTGCAAGAGTAGGTATATAAAACGTCGAAACACGCAGAGATAAAAAAAATGAATAGTACAGAAATGAGATTGTAGTAGAATTGTACGCAATTCATTTAACATTAGTGAATCACTGATTTTTATCGCACGACGTTTCGATCGGTTTATCCCATATAATCATCGATAAAGAAACGGGTTCATCAGTGAAAACCATTGAATGAACTTACATATGTACATACATGTATATAAAGGGCCTGTCGGTAAAGGTCGTTAATCAGTCGATAACGGTTGTTCCGATTCACCTAACCGCGTAGATATAAATCTCAAAATCACACTCTGCAAAGACCTGCGCCGACGACTTATCGAATACTGCTAACCTAAAAACATACGCGTACGCAATAGAGCGGAATCGATACGATAATCCAGTGCAATTCAATCGATTCGACGTTCGTTCAGATAAAAAAGAAAATGAAGTTTGAGTGCAGTTTTGTGTTGATGACGGCGGTCGTGGCGTTGACGGTATGCAGCAGTTCGACCGACGCGTTCCGGTTGAACATCGACTGGATGCCCGGCGTGTCGCAATTGAAATCGGCCGGCCAGGCGATTATGGGCGATACGGAAGGAGCGAGGCGTACGCAAGAGAACTTTTTGAGGACCGCACCGGTCGTTTCACAGTTTAACTCGTTAGGGCATGCGATCGCCGGCAAGTCGGACGAGGCGAAACGTATCCAGGAACAATTCTACAACGAACACTTTGTCGACAACGCAAAAAACGTAGCCACGGGGCTAGGTGCTTTTGCCACTATAGTTGGCGGTAAAAATATCGGCACAGGAGTCGGCTACGCTTCGGAAAAAGTTTTCGGATCACTGCCGAGGGCGGGCGGTAAATAGTTTTAATCATTTTTGTAATTATTTTATACGATATTTTAAGATTATTTATATTATTGAGATACTTCGTAATCATTCGACATTGTTATCTGTATTATTTTAAAAATATAAATTTTTTATTATACATCGATTACGATAAAAAATGTACATTGAAATAAAATCGTCGAAATTAAAAATTAAACAATTCTACATTTCCTCTAAACGTCTAAGCCAGAACATAAAGACGTTCCGAACCGGTACACGAAATCCAAAACCGGTGACAATCCCGTTTTTCCGGGACGTATGCCAACCCTATTCTTTTATATATTTTACAGGAGGGATAATTTAAAAATATATTTATAGAATAAAATATTTGATACATGTAGGTTTATTTAATTAAAAATAATTATAATATTATATGTATTTTATGTTTTTTTTTTATGCGCACTGTATAGTATGCAATGTTTAGTACTTAGAGTTTTAATTAATAATAATATTTTACGCGAGTATATAGAAAAAATATATGTAGTTGGCAGGGCCTTATTAGCGCATAGGCACTATAGACACTGTGTTTAGGGCCTACGAACATTTTTGGATCTACGAAAATGTGTGGCTACGATTTTTTTGTAGTATTCAAATTGGTATAAAAAATATTTTTTTTGTGGTGTTTGACAATTTATATTATACATGTTTTGGATTATAATGAATTTTTTTTTTAAAATTTTTTAAACTTTTATTATATAAAAATGTATAATAGTTATCATATAAAAGTTTAGATTTGATTTTTATGTTGTAAACATTATTGTTTTTAAAAGCTTAACACTGCATGAGATTTAACACTTCCTCTTCCAAAGTGAAGGTTTCTTAACCATTTAAATACTAGTCAACGGCCCTGCAAGGACTAGGGCTCTAGGACCTACGTTAGGACTACGATAGTGTTAATCCGGGCTTGGTAGTGGGTCGATAAAAAATTGAAATTCAAAACGGAGTCGTTACAGTAAAAATGTAGAGAAACACTGCTATAAATTATATTGATAAATGATAACGGTAATTTACATATCGGTGGATATTTCTCACATTAACACGCGCCACTGGCCAATAATAATAAATTATAAACGCAAAAGTCCAATGCGGAGTAGCGTTCATCACAGCTGCAACAACGAGCAGCAACACTGAACCGTCGTCGTTAGTGATAAGAAAGTGATAACCGTTATCAGTGTCGGCGGTGACGTTCATGCTTGACAACGTTGGGATAGGACAGGATCATGTATGGCGGACAAACATAATATTCAATTTGACGAAACATCGATATTTACAACAAAGGGAAACACCAGAATCGTCATCTGTTGATATCTTGTTGCTTGGGTATGTCAATTCTCTGTAGATTATGAGTCGAAATTTTGTTTTAGGGTATGCATGAAGCCGAGTACGTCATGTTCCATAGTAAACCTTTGCCTTCACATTTCTTTCAGTAGTTAATAATAGTACTCGATGCCTTTTTTTGTTATTAACTCTCAAGGTATATTCAAGTCTGATAATTAATGTGACACAGGTGCGAACGTAGGGGTGGTTGTTAGGGGCTTAAATCCTTCCCGAAATATCAGAAAAATGTAATAAAAAGATGATCTGACCTACAAATTTAAGAGTTATTTTAAAGTGTCTTATGAGACTTGCATATAAAATATATAAATATATATTATACATTGAGTTTTATGCATACTATATGTCAATATTTTATATTTTTTCAAATCCCTTTCTGTTCTCCGAAATGTTTTCCTGCGTTCGCCTATGTTATGATAATATACTCAATAGTAATTATTTCTTACAGAATTCAAAGTAGAATAATGTTCTTTTACATAATATAAATTATTTTACCAAACAAAATTTATGAAATATTTAAGTTATTAACTAAACGTGCATTAACAGGTTTATTGATTATTAAAAATCAGTATGTATTTACCTCACTATTTATAATTTACAAAACTAGTTAGCACAAATCGTAATAATTAATTTTTTAATATTAGTTAAAATTAATTGAAATTTTTTTCTATATTTTATGCCAAAAAGATAATTTAAATAGGTACAAATTTATACAAATGTTTATTTATCTATTACATTTTTATTGTACCATGGGAGAGGATTGTATTTTAATTGTAAAAATTTTGTCATCACAAAGATGTTATGCTTTCAATGTTCAACTGTTGCGGTTCACTAATGTAATGGTAATTGTAATTGTCGTGACTGATGATCGAGTGTAACGAAATCTAAATGAAAATTCAAAATAATACGGTAAAAAAATAATCACATCGACTTGTGTCGAATACAAATGATCGATGTATCGAACTAAAACATCGATGTTTGAGAAAAATCGATGTTTTTTCCCATCCCTACCACGAATTTTAAGAGACTAAGAGCTAAAATATGCGAACGAACAAAAACGTTCGTTCAAATATAATACGTATATTCATGTACGTTTCGCCACATTTCGGTCGATTCTCAATCAATAGGTAACATAATATAATATTAATATTATTCATAATTACTATTATTATTCAGGCACGTAATTTAGGAGGGAGAAGTAGGAGCGATCGTCACCCTCGAACGCTATATTGTAATAAACGACGAATTAAGATATACAGTATATAATACCAGGGGGGTATTTACGAGGGACTGAAGGGCTCAGACCCCCCTCAAAATTTCAGAAAAACATTTTAAGGCTGCTTCTACCCTATTAAATTTAAATTGTAGAAGCTCATATTTTCTTTGTTTTATGAATTATTAGTTTCAAATTGTTCGTGTTATGTAGTGTACCTATTTGTTTATCAGACAATTTTGGTCGTAACGAATACATTTACATTTAATATAAATTGTTTCATTATTATTATATTAATTTTCAATTATGTATATATTTTATTTCATTAGTTTTGTAAAAAGAGTTAAGATTATAGAATGAAAATAAAAATTGTTTACTAAAATTTTAATTTTAATTTTAAATTGGTTGAATTGTGAAATTTTTTCTGGTCAGCAAATCCCCCCCCCCCCCCCAAAAAAAAAATCATCTAATTACGCCCCTGTGTAGTATATTATTTATTTCTTATTATGATCATTTTGAAGAATGTTAATCGACTCTCGCTCTAAAAGAAGCTCCTATTTACGTGTGCCCGTTATTCTTTCCCGATCAGAACGTATTATTTTTATCACCAAGGATTATCAAAAATTATCATTGTTACGCTGCGTGTGATAAAAAAATCAAATCAAATCATATATATTTCGCAATAGCAGCTGACCAGTAGCATGTTCACGTTGAATTTCCAAGTTGAACCTGTTTGGTCATTTCCTTTCCACCGCATTATCATTATTTAATATTTTTTTTTCCCATTGTATTCCGTGATAATTTACATATATTATTATTATTATTATTATTATTATTATTAACAGCTACGACCGTCACCGCGTTCGACTTGGCCAACCGACGTTCGTTTGTAAAACGTATTCATTTACTAATCATTCAACATTAATATTATATTAAACACACACGCACATCCATCCGTAACTCGGCTGCATTTGATTATTGTTATTAGGTAAGCACGAATACGCAGTAGAAGAAAATATCAGGAGAATAACGTGTCGCGGACGTTATCTTGGCGTGTGAAAATTCGGACAGATAACCGAGATAACGCTGGCTGACACAAGACCCGTAGTTTGTTACTGCTGTAGATGTTGTGTTCTTCGAAACCGTGTCGACTCATAATTTATCAATTCGTCCGCGATCGTATCGATATTGTCGTTTACATTAAATTTTGTCGTACCTCACCACTGCGTTTCGACTGCCGACGAATTCGCGACTCGTGATCTGTGATTTTTCCCATGGAATTCGTCATCAGTTTGTTTTGGTTTTTCACCAGGTTACGATGAGGTGTTACGTTTGTTGTGCACGTTTCCTGTTGACGTTCTGTTCGTTGCCCCCGAGTTAGAAGGGACCACACCAATATGCCTACCAACGGTCTTGATCATGAAGAACTGGTTGTTTTGCCTCCGAACGCCTTGGACATGAGGACAACAGGGGTGAACAACAACAACAACAACAATAATAACAATAACAACAACCAAGCGTTCAATGTACGAGACCGTCTGTTTTATGCCTTGTTCTACAAGGCAACCTTGGGATATGCAAGAATATTTCCTAGATCGCTGAGGAGGCTTATTGAGTTTGTGTTCTTATTGAAGGTAAACTGTCCACACGATGCTTATCGCGGTTAATAGTATGTATTTCTCTCGCTAAACTTGTCCTTTAAATTTTTATAGGCAGTGTTCTCATTTTTCGTGCTCGTCTATGTGCATATGAATTTCTCAAGAATGCCAGCCAACTGTTTAGATCATGTCAAAGATTCATGGCCCAGAGACGGTATTCTCCGAGTAGAGATTATCCGGTCTTATCAACGGACTCTAGCTGAACAAAGAGGCACACTGAATGATTTGTTCACAGTAGAAAAATCTTATGAACGCGAGTATAAACTTAAAGAACTGGAAACAAACGATGAAAATGTTTCAATGTTTTTGAATCCTTTCACCAAAATTAATAACCCAGAGTAAGTTGATATAGTAATTATTCACATTCAATAAACATTATTTATTAATTCATTTGATAATAAAAATTAAATTATTTTATACTTTTGATGTAAAAATGTATGTGTTGATAATCAAGTTTCTTATAAAGAATATTTTTTTAAAATACAAACCATTTGTTTTTTTAATTTAAATTATTATTTTTAACTTATAATTTTTTTCTAAACTAATCTATCTTTTGAAATTGTATGAACTAATTTTTTTTATTACTGTTATGAATTCTGATGAATATTGTTATCTGTTAATATTCAATATCTACATAAACTAGAAGCAGATAAACTAATCAGTTAAATAATTAAATCTATTGTTAATTTTATTTATTTTATAAGTAAATCTAAATATAGGTATGCGCGGACTTGTATTTCAGAGGTGCCTATAATTCTTTTGGTCCCTATATTAACAAAATGTGTAGGTATATTTAATACTTTATAATGTATAAGTAATTAAATAAACAAAAGTTTAATTTTTGATTTAATATTGTGGTATATTAGTCCAAATGAATATGTTTTCCTAGCATCTCTTATATTTTTTTCAGATAGCTTCAATTATTTATGATTTAAAATTTTGTAGTCAATTGTAGCTGTTATATTATCATGAGTTTTTGCACAAAAATGTATTTGTATTATTTTTATTATTTACTTATTTATTATTACAATTATTTTTTTACCAAATATTTTAGAATAAATTACATTTAATTTGAACAATATTAGTTAAACCAGGGGCGCATTACTCTTAGGATTAAATTGTAAGGCCCCATTTACAACATTTTGGGCAGTGCCTAGGAACACCGGACACTCTCATCTTTACCATTATGCATCTAAGTATGTTATATAGTACTTCAAAACTGATTGTTCCATTGTAATTTGAAAATAGGTTATTTAGTATAGATTTTACTCGGAACACAAAAAAAATTGTTTCCAATAAATTTAAAAAGTTAATTTATTACATATTTAGTTAATTTTAAGATAAGGAATCTAAATAAGTTCTAACAATATATTTTTTCAAGTATTCACTTTGAAAAATTTAGAATTTGTTATTATAACTTAGATACAAACACTCAAAATAATTAAAAAGAATGTAAGCATTGTTTCATTTAAAATCAATTTATTTTTAAAAATTTATAATTTAATATTATTCATATATTAAAAATAGAAATTTTAAATTTTAATTATTTTTATCTTGACACAGCAAATATATTTAATTACCTAATTTTTCATAAAAAAATTTTTTTGTATTGAAATAACTTTTTAATAAATAAATAGCTGATTATGCTTAAATATTCCACTGTTAGACCATACAATTTTTAATTTGTAGAAGGGATAAATACTTAAATTTTCAATTATGTGAGAATTTCATTTTTTTTTTATTAAAACTTATATAGAAGGTATTTTTTTAAAGTTATAATTATGTTAAATTAAAATTATATACTTTCTATATATATGCATAGAATACATATATTGTTTTTATTACTTCAGAGGATATCTTATATTAAAATATTAATTTAAATGTACATAACTTCCAACATGTGTTCACAAAGAATTAAATCTATTTGTAAATATTGTATATTTTTATTATTTATAAACTCATAAAAATTGTTTGTAATCAATTAAAAATATTATAGTATTATATATATATAAATACATTATGTTAGATTTATGATGGTGAAAAATATCACTTATATACTCTTAAATTTAGTTATTAAATTATAAAAATCAATAGTGACCATCATAATTTTTAAAGTGATTAAAAAACCATAAAATTTATGAATAGACATTATTTTATCAGTAAAGTTAAATTAAATTGTAAACTATACAATAATATGCAATATACAATTACAAATGTGTCTATTATTATTATATCATATTAATAAATATACTTGCATTTTATATAGTTACCCACTTAAATAGTTAATGAGTATACTCATTTTTAAAATGTTTTATCTCAAGAATAATAAAACATGACTTGAAATATAGTAAGTATAGTAATACTACTAATATCTGTATTTTTATTATTTTAGTTTGTAGTTAAAGCAGTATTAAAATGAAATTTATTGATTTATCGATTAATCAGTTTTTTATTTTTAAATTTTTAATCTGTGTTAATTTAAATAAATTTATTGCATATAATAATTTGACATGAATATTTTATGAAATAATGTAGATGTTGTCATATTGATAATATAGACTTTTATAATGTAATGACATTTTGATGGTTTTGAAAGAATATATTATTTCTTCATTTTGTACTTGTTTGTAATAATTACTTATTAGGTAACAATTACTAAAAATTATCTTGTGTTTACTAGAAAATAAAATGATGATAGTTTCAAAGTAATAATGGTATGTAACTATATTTTGTTACAAATTTACATTTGTTACATATTATTTAATAATGAATATTAATAAACTTTATTTTTTTATTTTATTTATTTTTTTTAATTTTAGTTTAGTATTTAAGTATAAATAGTATTTTTAATTGAAAATTATGGTTTTCTTTTATTCTTTGACAGTTATTTTATTAAGTATATATTATTATAATTTGTTTGTAGATCTATAAGTTAAATCAATCTCGCATATTTTATTAAATTTCTTTTAATATTATAAAGATAAACATTATTGTATACATTATATACTGTAAAATATTTTAAATTAATAAATAATATTTAATTATTGTATTGAACTGTAAATTTATAATTATATTAAGAATAATTTAGTTTTAGCATAAAAAAAATAATACTAATTCATTTTGATATAAAAATTAAATTTGAGTTTATTAACAACAATAATATGTCTACATTCAATTATTGTTTTATCAATTCTTTATTGAAATGTATTTACATTTGTAAGAAGTTAAAAATATATATTTTATGTTTATAGGAACAAAGAAAAAGTTAATATTGACCCATCAACAGAAGAGCTAGATGGAAAAAAAAATCGATACAGCTCCACTAAATCAAACTTTTTTTTCAATTACATGTTAGCTTTAGATGAAGATGATGTAAAAGGTACATTTTAAATTATTTATTATTATTATAAACAAATTATTTTAAATTAAATAACTAAAATTATATTGTATAAATAATTGTATGAAAGTTAATCATTATAACTTTTAGATTTAAAATTTTTTTTTTTGAACAAATGTAATTTAATTTAATTTGTGTTGAAGTAAAACTTTTCTTTAATTTGAATTTATAATAATAATAATAATAATAATAGTAATTAATAAATTCTCCAACAAGTAAGATTTACAAAATGTATAACAATTAAATAACTGTTGAATCACCTACAAAGCCATAGACTGTGTTGGAGGCATTATAGTTCTTTACAAATATAGAATATAATTGCGCATGTATGCGATACGCATGTGCAACCAAAAGTGTTAAAAATTTAAAAGTCATAAATTAATGTATATTTAAATACCCCCTAGGCTCTCTAAAATATTCATTTCAATATAAGGTCATTCAGTTAAGATATTTAGTGATACCTTAAATCATGATTACATTGTATATTCAAAGTCAAGCCAAGGAAATAATTTGTTATTAACTTATAAATCATTTATAAAAATTAAAAACTAAGAAAATGTATCATGTGAATAAGAAGATTTTCAATGTTTGCTCAATCAATTTAATTTGCAATGATCTACTTTAAGATACTTAACACAAATTTCTTAATGTATTAATTCCGTTTATTATTATTATATTATATTATATTATAACTTAATCAACTATAAATAATATACATGTATTTAGAGCTGGTGAGATGATAGAGAAGGGTGGGCTAAAGTATTGGGGCCCAATGTAATTATATGCCCGTACTTCCGAGCGGACCCATTCTCTCAACCTCTTATACAAAATTAATTTATTTTCTTATTTGCCGTAACATATATGTACAAATAGTATGTAGATCTTGGTCAAACTAGTGTAACTAAAGTGGGCCTGGTACTGATCAGCTTTAGGGCCCTCAAAAGTTTTCGCCGGTTCTGCATGTGTTATTAAATTTCTTGTATGTATGGTTAATGTATAATAATCTTACAAAAAATGCAACACATTTCATCAGTACTTAATATTTATTATTTTTGAATTAAGTTAAATTCTATTAGAATCATCTTAATGAAACATAATAATTGTAAACAGTTCCATTTTTACCCTATGGACATTTGGGGTACGTGCTCAGGGCTCTCATCTGGATGGGGGCCCCGAATAATAGAAATTACAATTTTGAATTTTAATCTGTAACATATTAATATGATTGCCTATAAAAAAATAATTCTTAATTGCAGAACATTTTTTTTAGGTAAATAGCAATGTTAAAATGTTAATGTCAAATAAATAATGAATGCTTAATTGTGTGCCATTGCATTAGGTATATTTTATTTTTTGTCCCATTATTTCAAAAGATTTTTCTTTAAAATTAATAACTCATATCTTCCAGCTACACAAAAGTCATCATATAAAATAAGCTTTTGATGTTTTTACTCAACTTTTTATGGTTTAACAAAATGACCTCTAAGCTCCAGATGCCCATAGGCCCCTGGATAGCCTCAGATGGCCTTGACTGTAAACACTAACTAGAATACAATTATTAAATACTGTTTTATGTTGTATAATATTAAAATTATAATTTTTTTTGGTATATTAATATTTTTTTGATATTGATTTGTATAGAAGAGAAAAAAGGAATATCGAGTACTTTAAGTAACTTACATCATAATACAAATAAATCTAATTTTTCTCAAACGGATAGTTCTACAGAATTTCACTCCACTAAGGTATAAATGATTTAATTTAACTCATTCAAATGATAATAAAAAGAAAAAAAATGTAATTATTTTTTTTCAGTATGCAAATAGTACTATTAGAGGGATTTCAGGTATTGATAGCAATGAAATAATTCAGTCTCCAAGTACTAATACTAAACCACCTGTATATGAAGAAAACGAAGGTATTATACCTTATTTTTATACCTCATATTGTTATACCTAATGGAGTGTAAATAGACAATTATTTTGCCATTCAGGCATGTTTTATGAAAATTACATTATCGAATACTCATTGGAGTATGGATTTTTGCGGTTGTCGCCAAATGCTAGAAGTCGATTAGGCATTCCAGTAATGTTAGTTGCATTAGAACCTACTCGGCATAAATGTTTTGGCGATTCAATAGGTCAGTTTTTCTTGGAATATTTTCTCGGATACGATGATCTTCTTATGTCCTCCGTGAAATCTCTAGCTGAAAATGAACAAAACAAAGGATATTTGAGGTAAAAAAAAAATTACGATTTGTTGCGGTTTATTTATACCAGTAAAAATAATTATTTTTGTTTCAGAAACGTCATCACCGGTGAACATTACCGATTTGTAAGCATTTGGATGGCCAGAACATCTTACATTGCTTCATTCTTTATAATGGTTGTGTTTGTAAGTATAAAACTATTAATATATAGTATGGGAAAAATTCATTTTAGAATTGAATATTCCGTAGTAAGTAATAACAATTCTTGTATTTGTAAATTAAGTTGCTCGTGTATATTATTTTTCAACATAACACATCTTCGATCAAATTACCACGAGAAGTCATATATGTGAGATTGCTTGGTAGCGACATAATGATTAAGAAAACCAATAAGAATGGAGTGCGTGAAATTAGATACGATGTTTTATTCCCTCGAGAAATGAATGCCCATATATTCTCTTCCTCTTGTTGCCAATTACTATAGAGTTTTCTCCTTTTCGCTGGATTTTTTTTTTAAATTTTGCTATTGAAATTCACTTATTTTCCTAAATTAACTTTCTTTAATCTACTTAAAATTATAATTTATTGAAATCGCCAATCATTTTTTTTATTTTTACTGTATTTAACTGTGTGTCGCATATATGCAAACATAATATTTAATTTTTGTTGTAAAATCTTTGTATAAGTAGCATTATCTTGTTTCATTCTGTAATTCCGGTAGTTATATTTATTAATCATAGGTCGTTGCTATTTTATTGAATTGGTATTATAAGCTGCATAGATTTTGACCAGAAGAATTACCAGATATTATTTAGTTGGTGCATACAAGGGGTTCATTTTTGAATTTTTATACAATATTTTAAATAATTAAGAAAACACACGAAATATTACAAAATGTAGGTAATGTATATATATATATATATATATACACTACCTAATAGCCTATATAACCTATATAAATATCACAGAAGCTTGAAATGTTCATTGATTGCTAATACGCTGCTTAGGTATTGTTCTCTAGAAATAGCTTAATCATCTTCCATTGGTTAAAATAGCATATTTTATTTATCGGGAATTTATTTATTATAACGAAATGGCCCTTGCTCAAAGTAAAAAACAAAATGTATATTATCAATGGATATTCCGAGATTTTTATACGGAACATATAACAATAATTATTATATTAATAATATAATTATAATATAATATTATTAATATTTTATAATCAGAATTATTATAGTGGACTATTGGCGCATCTGATTATAATTATTATCAATAGTATTAGTATTAGTATTATTCAGGGCTTATTCTAAAGCGCAGTTGGGCTTATTTTGCGTATTTGGAAAAGGTAGATGCGCACTTGATAGTAAACTTTTGCGTAATTGATTTTTAATTCAACGTTGTTTAGTGTTATTTTATACATTACATTATGATTTATAAACAAAGTAAAAAGGAAATTTATTAAAAAATATTAAAAAAAAATACTTTGAACGCGAATGTAAATTGTTTTATATCTTTTAAATACATTACATTTTAAATTGCTTCACATAGAAGCTACACATTTTATCATTGTTAACTATAATTTGACAGTATATTTTGAGATCATAGTTCTATTTTGATAGGCTTATTTAAACAAAATGCGTAGTTGATAAAAATCCTTAAAATAATCCCTGATGAATATTATTAAGTAAATTAATATTGCGTGATGAAAAAAACGAAAAATTGTTGGTAAATCTAATTTAAGATTTATTATCATATATCATTCGTTATCAAGCTATTTTAACATTAATATACATAATATGATACTTAACGTTAATTTTTATTATTTATTGATAATTTATATTCAAACCCTAGTTAGAGCAACTATTTATATTTATGTTTATATTAATAATACAAAATATTTTTCAAGATACCTAAACAAATTAAAACAACTAAGTTCGTACAGAATGAAATAAGTATTATTGTGTATGTTGTTCAAACAGAAGGATTAAAAATCTAGCTCCGTGTACCAGAATTAAAATATTTAACAAATGTATTATATGTTATTATTATTACATTAATCACTAAACAAATGTATTAATTGCTTAAAATGTATACAAGCCAAATAATTTGTTTTTATTTCTATACAGACTGTATCAATTTCAATGTTACTGAGGTATTCACACCATCAAATATTTGTTTTTATTGGTAATTTACTTCTATATTTATTATTTCCTTTCATTTATTTATGCGTACACTATTATTTTCCAGTGGATTTGCTACAGCTATTGGACTTTCACGGTTCACTCTCTTTCCCAGCAGCACCACTCTTGACTGTCATACTGGCTTTAGTCGGTAAGTATTATGATAATCTACTCGTAATTTGTAGTCCATAACTATTTTCGCGGTGTACATTTTGTCGTGTCAGCCGGACGGTTATTAAAACCTTGTCAAATGGTGTACGCATCATCAGAGTTCACTGATGCGACAACACCCGTACGCGTCCTTTGAACATAATTTTATGCATTAACAATTAAGAACTTTATCAACACAATGTGCCGTGAGCCAATAATGCATGCACGTCGACAATGGCGGCGGCGGTGTTGTAAAATGGTTTTTGATTTTCGATATTGATTTATTTGCAATTATTATTATTTAAATTTTCAATAGGCATGGAGGCTATAATGTCGGAATTTTTTAACGACACCACCACGGCATTTTACATTATACTAATCGTCTGGGTGGCTGATCAATACGACACCATATGCAGCCATTGTCCGATTACGAAAAGGCATTGGCTAAAGTGAGTATACATAAAAGCTATTATTGTTGTTTAATATACACCGGCAGGGGTTCGTGTCATGTATCCTGTTCCCTGTACGTGCGTGCGCGCGCGCGCGCGCGCGTGTGTGTGTGTGTGTGTGTGTGCGTGCGCGCGTGTTGGAGAGCGAAGGTTAACAACGTTCGGAGTCCGCGAACGGGAGCGAAGGAATAACACGAGAAAGTTGTCTCGAACATAAGTGCATCACAGTTTGACACGAGATGAAAAAAAAAAAAAAGGAATAGGAAAAAAGGGTCCATCGTCGGAACGAACGTGAGCGCTACAGGGATTCCTCTCCATTGACCACCCGCCAGGAACTGTAATGAATACAAGAATTGCACTTTTCCCTTCCCCCGGCGTCACCGCGATGTGCTGCCGCTGTAGCAAGAATGCGTGCGTGCGTGAGCGTGTGCCAGTCTCCTACAGAAGTGTAACTCGACGGCTAAAAATAAAATGGCCCGTTATACATTATTATTATTATTATTATTATATACGTAATGTGTGCGCGCGTGCGTGTATAATATTTATTTGTGTGTACGAATGCGTACGCAGTGTTGTGTGCGTGGGTACTGCGTTTATTTATATGTAAATCGATTGTTTCTGTTCCAGGTTTTTCTATCTGTACCATTTTTCGTTCTATGCTTACCACTATCGGTTCAACGGTCAGTACAGCAATTTGGCTCTCATCTGTTCTTGGTTCTTTATTCAGGTAAACAATTATAGTATACGTGCACGAAATCGTTTACAACAGTAATCGGTTTTTTAACATTTATTCTGTCGTATTACTGGACGCGAAACCGATTAAACATATCGTAATAACTATTAATATAAATAACGCTGTGTCGTTGGTGCGCGTTACGGCGCGAGCGAGTGCTCGTGCAGTGCGCGCGTTCGTTGTGTAGACAATGTCGAAGAAGAGGAGTATTGCGTTTTCGTTCCGTTATTAACTTTACTTTGAAAGAAATACCAAGCGATTTCGGATCGATATCCGTTTGTATTATGTACGTAGGTACTGTGCAGCGTATAAACGAAGGGATGTTTGTACCTACTTATAAGATTTTCCGTTATTATACGTGCTTATATAATATATATAGACTACGTAAGAAAACGATGTTTTTATTGTTTGTATGGCGAATTTTACTGTAGCACACCGGCGGTTTATGTTATATACGCACTATACAATATAATACAACTAAACCAATAGGGTATTTTTATTTATTTTTTTCGTTTTTCTCGTATGTTTTGGACAGTTGATTTAAAATGTTTTTTTAATGATAATATGAATGTTAATATAATATTTTATATAATATCGGAGAGGGGGCTATCGCTAAGTCGGAAACATACTATTGCACGCACACACAGAGATGGTTTTAGTGTTTTTCTATTGTGCTTTTTGTTTTACGAATTTTTCTTTACATTTAAAGTTCAGAATATCATTTTTAAAATTTATAATCTTCAGAAACATGGACCTAGCAGTCTTATGAATATATAATGCGTGTATATACGTTTTCGACGCGTACATTGGTAGCTAAAAATAAGATATGCAGTTTGCATTCGTCACGTAGTAAACAGTAAACATTGAATTCTTTAATTATTAATCAGCTTGTGTACCCGCATGTATAGTATATTTGTATATTATAAGACTTAAAAAAAAATAATCCGCACAGTAAATTAAAAATTTCTTTGAGCCATTTCTCAAACGTTTTAAAAACGCGTCACCCTTTCAAGTTAACTTTTCGGAGTTATTAATGGCTTTGATTTATATGTCTGAAACATTTTTCTCGATTTCCCTGAGCTTCAGTTGTTACGCGTTACTTTTTTTCTTCTTTTCTCTCCTTTCTATAACACATCGCGCCCGTCGTTTCGTCCTATTACGCGTTGTGGTGTTTGGTTTGAACTGCTGAAGAAATAGGTGTACCTATATAATACATGCTTTTGAGGGTGCGGCGCGTATGTTGCGTTCAAATTGTTTCACGGTTGATAAAGTCGGTATATCGCTCGTTGTTTCCGTCCGTGAGTGTCTGTCATTTGATCCTCTACATGTATGCGTGCTACAGGGTTCGGCGTGAAACACATTGCAGAACAGTTGAGTGGGGTGGAGTGGGTTGAGCGGGTGCTAATGGACCTTTCGGTATTATGCGATTATTATACAAGTTTGAATTCGATTTTTCCAACTGTAATTTGAATGCGAAATTATCGTGTCCAGTGTTGTGTTATTAACGGACGAAAAACCCAATGGTCTATAGAGATTTTCGAGAATGCAATGATGGACCGGTCGTTGGGCTGGCGGTAGGGTCATAAACAGAATGAATTCCGGGCGACATCCCGAAGGGTTGATACGAAATTTCCATATAAATTTAACAAAGAGCACAATTCATCCTCCGCACCCCACCCACCCCAGTAGCTTATGATCAAATCGTTTTTTTTTATTGTTATCATTATTATTATTATTTTATTTAACATCTTTATTTTAGACGGGTTTTATTATTATAATATAATGTATTCATGAAAATTCTCACAGCTCTTGAAAAATGATTATTATTGGTATTAGATAAAATCGTATCTTTGGTGCGACCAATAGTGTGTTAAACGTTGTACGTTTTAAGCGAGATGAAATGTTACAATCAAAATAATATACATAGAATTACTTTATATATATATATATACATTAAAAATATAAAATATAAATACAAATAATTTCGTTAATACGAACATTTCTTTCGTTTCATCAATCATAATTTAAATATACATTTGTGTATTAAAAAATAATAAAGAAATAAATCATAAATATCTGCTTTAAAAATTAAACATCAAAAATTAAACTAAATGCGATTAACGTGAATTCGTTAGAGAAACATTTTTAATTTGCATAGACTAATTTATATTGGCATTTTATCACTTCGTCTGAGTTTTAAGTTTAATGTAAAGATAATTTAATAACTTTTTGTTATTAATTTGACTTATTTAATTTCTGTATGTTTAAATAATTTTAAAATACATCAATATTTCGAGAAATTCTCATTAATGTAAGTTAAAAAATTAACAATATAAGCGGTGTATAATTATTTTATTAAAGAGTGTGTGTGTCAAAAGTTACCTGAACTCCATAATGTATTGATGGTAATAGTCGATTTATTTATTAGTTAGCTTCGAACACTTTTGTATGTACTGATTATCGAGCGTTTATTTTTTATTTTGAAGAACGAAAGTTTACACGGCATGTTTTTCCGTCGATAATTTTTTAGAGCAAAAAAAAAAAAATAAAATGAAATAAGATTTCCAGAATGCATTGTCTCTAGTCATGGTCAGGTTTAAATTAAATCTTTTAATAATGTATCTCAATAATGCAATAAGTCGCGTTATGCCCTTCAGTTGTATTCGTATTCGTCGGATTCCTGGAGCACATGCTTATTTTCTCTACAGATCACACTCCTTCGTTGGCGTATTCTTTCTAAACAAACTTATTTCATATCTCGTGGTCGGCCTGTTCGGGGTACGCTAACGGTCTGTGTGAACAGAACAAAGCGCGCGTAAATTAGCGTGACGTCATCGCATTGTTTGCCAATCGTATGTTCAACCGGAAAATTAAATCGTACTATATACGTTGGATATAATATTTTTTACGCGCACATGGAACGTATCTCATAGGTGTTTTTTTTTTTAACGCATTTTTTTTCCTTTCCTACTGTCACGCGTATCGAAACGGTAACGACGACCAAAGAGAATCCAGGTGTATCTTCTAATTATAACCTACACCGTGTTCGGGTCTAGTACTCGTTTAATCTTTTTTGGATCACGTCATTTCGTATTCATGTCCTACTTTTGGTCGTTGGCATAGGCGTCAATAGTAGTGGGGTGGAACAACCAACTCCCCCTTATGTCAGAATATCATTAATATAAACATACGGTTCGTCTACGAATCGTAATTTTAAATATGTTCGTAACTATTTCTGAGCTAACGAGTTTACCATCCTTCGAATTTTCACTTATGATGGTATCGGAATGGTTTGATTGTTAAAAAGTGGTTGGATTCGACTACATATATCTTAAACTTGTATGGGTTGATTTGGTTTAAATAAATATGTGTAATCAGTGTAATCCGTTCATTCTCCAGTTTGAAATTATAAATGAACATGATGATTTTAAAAATTAAATTATTTTTTAAACACTTTAAAACATTGTACTTTCAACGTAGAAGTACCACATTTAGAAAGTTTTTCTCTTTGTCATTAGAAGAAAAAAAAAAAACGTCTAAATTTCACCATTTCATCAGGAACGAAATAAAGCTAACGAGAAGTTAAAATCGCTTTTTTGGTGCATCGCAAAAAAAAAAAAAAATAGTTCAATCTTTTCTTCGAACGCAAAAACCAATGGAATCAGTTTCCAAATATTTCCGATCGATTTTTCATGTCGTGTTATTTATCTCTTCCAGCATTCCATGATTTACTTTTACCATCACTACGAGCTGCCGTACGTGCTGCAGCAAGCCCAACTGCAGCAGGTGATTATTCAGAGGCAGCAGCAGCAGCAGCACCAGCAGCAACAGCAGCAGCAGCAGCAGCAACAGCAACAGCACCAGCACCAACACCAGCCCCAGTCGGCCACGGGCGACGGGCTCCGGTCGGATGTCGGAAGTCCGTTGGAAGTGACCCTGAGGCCGGTGCAACATTTCAGCATAATGAACGGGCTGAACAACCTGGGCCGCCTACGCGCGGTGCTGTTACGCCGGCGGAGGGTGCGGACGTTCGAGTCGCCTCCCCCGCCGCCGCCACAGCCGCCCGTCGATCAGAGCACGTCTCGGACTTCGACCGCCCGTACCCTGGCATCGTCGACCTCGGCCACCACCACTACTACCGCCCCTGCCGAACACGCTGACGCTCCAGGGCTCGGGAATTCCGACACGGAAAACGGTGGTGCGCCCGCCGCGGCCTTCCAATAGTGCGCGTTTACCCTCCCGGCGAGTAACGCTATTACGGCCCTAGTACCAACCACCACTACTACCACTTCTATACTACCATTACTGTTATACTACTACTACTACTATTACTACTCTATACTATTGTTCTACCACTATATATAACTCCCGTATTATTACCATGTACATATTTCTACCGCGACGTTCTGAGCACACGCCGTCGAAACGATAACGATACGAGTTTATGATAATAGCAATAACAAAGATATAAGAATAATAATAATGAAAAAAAAAAATAAAATAATATTACAATATAATAATCTTCGGGTGTGTCGACTTCGAAGTCTGCAACGGGGACGCGACGACGTCACCGGGTTGCGGATTTACAGACTAGTTTGTTTGGTTTTTTTTCTTCATCCTATCGCGTGTACAGTCGAAAAGCAAACTCGTATTAATAACATACGTATGATATAACACGTTCGTTTGCCTGTGACAAAACGTTCGTTCGAAAGTACTTTTCGTTTTTTTCTTTCTATTTTTCGTAATTAATTGATTTTTTCCTAATACGTGTCGGTGGCCGCCAACGCCGTATAGTTGTGCGTCGCCATCGGTAGCAGCGGTGACGGTGGCAGGGAAAGTGTTTTTAATTTTATTTTTTTCTTATTATTTTAGGGCTATTTGTTTTTATTTTATTCTGTCTAGTTTGTAAATTACGATTGTATATATATTTTTAGATCATTTGTAATATAAACGATAATTATTATTATACCACTATGTTATTGTTTTAAAACATAATATCTATATGTATATGGTATATTATTATTAATAATGCGATATCGTCGCGGTACGTTTGCAATTCAGAATGTTGTGTAAACTTTTACGTTGTATTAAATGACGACGTGTTCGTATGTTTTTCGATCATTACATAATACACGCATTATTGCCATATATATATTTGTATATGTGTGTGTACGGAATTTGTACTCGCACTGTTTTGTAATTACTCCCCCATGTGTTTCCTACGTCCGTCCGCCCGTCGAATACGCGAGCTGGAGATGACTGGAAATGCACTCGACTAGTACACGACTTCCGACCGCCGTTTGTTTTCCTACTCTCCTGGCGCACGTTGAATCCTGTCGAATCCTGGGCTCGCCGTGTACATGGTTATACGATTGGCGATCGTTCGATGTTCGGACGCGGTAGGAGTACGTCGGCGGTCCGTAAAGGCACGAGAGCAAATTGCTACGCGTTGCGCGCCCCAAAAAACCGTTCACTTGCCTACGCTGAACAGAGCGTCAAACGTCGTTCGCGATTAACGCCATCCGATCGTCGTCGGTATTTTGACGAAGTTCGGAGAGACTTCGGGCCGTGGACGGATGTTTTCAGTCATTCATGCGCACACGTGCGTATACCGACGTTCGTCGAACGACCGATGAAATATCTACGAGCGTCCCGAGTGGCTTCGAACATTGCTACATACATTGGTGCTCAACAACCGTGTGTCGTGACCAGAGCTACGTTTAACGGGGAGCAAGGGGGTGACGATTGCCATGGGGCGGCAAATTTTTGAGGACCAACGTAATATAATTATGATTTTTCTTGTACGACTGTATAACTATAATACATATCATTTCTATTGCATATATTATTTTTTATTTTCAATTGTAATTTTCTCAAGAGCGGCATATTTTAATTTGCCCCGGGTCGGCTGTATAGCCTAACGCGACAGTGGTCGAAAAATTTGCTCTCTTGCGTACGCCGCGCGCCCCATGACAAACCATACCCGGCGCGTCGCAGTCGAAACGCATACGGTTTGTAACAGCCGATATTCGAAATCGATAATATTGAGATCACTTATATTCCGACGACGACGACGGTCCGGCCGGGCACCGAAAAAGTGTTGCGCTCTCGGGCCCTCTTATTATTTTACCCGACGGCGAAATCGTTTTGGATTTAAAATCGAACGTAGGGTTAGAAAAATATTTGCTGGACCTTCGTGATGTGCAAATATGCATTAGAACCGACGAAATTATCGAAAAACATTAAAAAAACGCTCTAAAAATGAAAGTTAAAAGTTTCACCCTTGGAAGTATCTGATCATGATCCTGCCTCGGAAAGCATTTTTTCTATGGTCATCTAAAAACAAAAAAAAAATTTCCCATTGAAATCAGGACCCCGGCAACAATGATAAAATTAATAGATCATTATCCAGCATCGGTGACTGTGAAAATATTTGTGGGGAAAAGGTGTCGCGGGGTTGTCGAGCCGACGGGAACCTTTAAACCACTCGACGGGACCGGAAATAATAATACTAATGATGTGCGCACGATGATATGCTCCGGCGCGTGGTGCGGTTGGAGTAGAATATAATACGGGGATCGGGTGCCGATGCGGCGAGGTGTCGAGATTTCTTTCCGCCCTGTCCACTGCTCTTTCGTTATATTTCTTCCGCGCTCGCTTTTCCCTCGAGCCTGCCGCCGCCGCCGCGTAAGTCATTAACCCCCTTCGGCCCGGTGATTTAATGATATTACCTTTTGTGCCCAACACGCGCGCGCGCGTTTCGTTTGACTCCGAAATATTTTTAATACGTCGGGGCGCGACTTAGGGTTCGATTTTTTTTTTCACCCCGGACTCTCGGAATATTATTCTCAGTGGCAAACACGGACAGTTTTTTGATTTTCCGCTACGATATCTCGCGATCAATGTTGTCTACCACGATTTTATTTCGTTATCAACCGGATCAGTGGGGACACGCGGTGGCATTAGTACAGTCAAAATATAAGTCTTCGACCCGAAGGATAGGTGGTAGTGAGGCGAAGAGAAAAAAATTTCGGATCGAATACATTTTTTCGGGGTTCTTGAACGGATGACATTATGTTCGAAAACTTTTTTGAAGTTGTGTTAAAATGAGTAATAACTATGGGTTCTATCGCTTGAACCATATGGTCACATTCTTAACGTTCCGTAATTATTATATTATATCGGATAAATTTAAACATCTGTAAAGACTTTTAGGGGTCCCGATACCGATGTGTATTGTCTTCGTCTTTCACATGTGAAAATGTAGCAAAAACTACCCACCTTTCGTCCTTCGATACGGTTGATGAATTGAAACGATGAGGATTTTGAGAACCGAATAAATATCAACGAAGCAGTGCCGTAGCTAGGATTTTTAAATGGGAGGGGCTAAATACGTTTTTGGACAGGTTAGATAAAATTCAAGGGTTTATCCTTAATTTGTAGATACTAAACTTTTGTTCGAAACAGATACAACAATATTCAAATGTATGTTTATAGTATTGCAATTAAATTTATGGACGAATATGAATGTAAAAAAAAAAAAAAAAATAAGTAGCCTGATCGATTTAGAGTAATCTTTACGCTCAATGCGAGCGTAAATTGCTTTCAGAATTCCGAATCCGTTTAATCACCCCGTAATCACGGGGAAAATGTTAATAATTTTAACCGTGTTGCGCGTGTGAAAGACGAAAACAACACACATCGGACGTATCCCAGAGCCATGATTCGTAGTTTTTCACGACATTCTTCAAGATCATCATTTGCGCGTCAAAGAACTGTGCCCTCCCTTACAGTAGAACCGGGCAATCCTCCCCGCCGCCTATAAAGGACACGGCCGTAAGGATCGAGTTCAATAATAAAAACGAGTTGCTTGTCGTAGTTGGTCGTTAATCAGCGTACGAGGGCCTCCGATTGGTGATTTATTCTACTCCAGTTGATTTCACGCCGTTAAACATTGCACACTTTTACTCGTCATCGACCGAGTTGAATAATATTTTATACGATCGTCGAGTAACTGAACGTCTAACCAAATATTTGTTCGAAAACAATCCGAATTATACTGGTATAATAAGCATAGTTTGTAGTCGTGTGTGCCGAGCACGCAGATAAACTGCTGCAGAATGTACGTAGGTTTATTTTTTTCTATTACGTAACCATCGCGAATATGAAATTGGATTTTTTATTACTTCATTTTTGATACAAAAAAATAAGTACCGTATACGATAATAAAGCGGTTTCAGAGAGTCGCAAAATAATAACACCACGTAATACCATGTATACGAACGCAACATGATTTCGCGGATCTCCAAATTATGGTACTAAAAATATGATGCACTACAGTTGACCTGAAAACCCACGTCAACACACTTTTCCTTTAATCATTCGCTTTAATCCAATGTTTAGAGTAATAATTTGCCGATAGATATTAATTGATGGACTGAAAATCGGACGTTTTTGGTGCTCCTAAGTTAAACCTAAACATCTACTAAATAGACTTCGAAAAATATTTTCGCGCATAACTCTAATATTCACCAAGCCGGGTTAAGGGCTGGCCCCTACACCGTCAACATTCATTACTATAGATTCAGTTCGGGTTTTGATAAGGAAATGGAGACGAGAAGATGAAAATGCGCTATTTTTCAAAACAGATTTTGATTTTGGATGTTCCTAAGTAAAGCGAATTAAATAATACATCGAATAACAAGAACGGTTAAACGTCATATCAAACACAAGATCCTGAGATTCATTGTTCTTGACCTGGGAAGGCTATGAAAATATTTAGAGGAGCTTAGAACATCTAGTTGAGCTTATGGTCATGGTTCATTTCGTCGTGAAACAAATGGGATACACGGTCCGTGGGCAAATATGGTTAATTATGTTTTCAGAAACATAGTTTTTTTTATCGTTATTTTGTTTTATATTTGTATTTGTATACTTTTTCATTAGTGTTATTACGGAACGTTCAGCTACTGTTATTGATAATATTTCGATGGCATATTTAGGATAAGTAATATGTAAGTACACAGAGTTTACTTTTATATTATTTATCAATTTCAATTAACCGAAAAAAATTAAAAAGTGTACACTATAATGATATGCTTTTTTTTTATTACCTATATAAATCATACGGTGTACATGCAAAATAACTGTGCAATTAAAAGTTTTACCATAAATACTCTGCAAAAAAAAAAGTTCTACAAAACGCCTCTCTCTCTCTCTCTCTCTCTCTTGGATTAAAAGCACGACCCCCATCGAAAAAAAATTCTTGTGCGCGCTACCTTGGTAAAAATATCTCGGGAGAAACTCTAAACGATAATAATGATCGTGAATAGTAAACGCAATGACGTGCGGCTATCGCGTCCGATGTCTAAATGTGTGCCGTCTCGCACGCGGTGAGGTACAACCATCCTCAATTAATTATTGTCGCTCAAGCCCGCGTAATTAGCCTGATAAAAAACGAAAAACGATTATTTATATCCGACGTCACGTCGAAATATTATATTTATC